TATAAATACACACACATGCATGCATATATATATATAGCCTATAGAAAAATGTTATGTTCATATATTAAATATATATATATATATATACATGGAAATATTTTCAATATATATACTGTATATGTGTGTATTTATATATGCATAATAATTATACACAGTACACACACATATTATGTAAACAAAAACTATTTGGGATGCGATTAATCGCGATTAATCGTTTGCCAGCACTACAAAACCATTTTCCTTAATTTACTATTTTATCAGATTTTTATTAACTGTGATAATGAAAGATAAATGGGGAAACTTTTATGGTAGAATTTCATTCAAACTTAAATATTAAGTAAAATATATCCTAATGGTAGTGGTGACACAACAGAGATACAGTATAACAGCCTTATAGCTAAATTTAGTAAAACAGTCGAAGAAAAAAAATTATATCAAACATTGTTTTAGCCAACAAACATTGCAATAAGGAAATATGATTTAAAAAATGACAGAAATTTATACAAGACGAACTGAAACTTTGAGCATAGGCTATATATTTATATTGTACTCCAAGAAATCCGTACTGTATAGTAAAAAACAAAGTAGTATATATTTTTCCCAATTTAACCTGTACAGATTGCACAGAGTTCGTGCAACAGCCACTGATCGTTCGCAGTTTGTCGGTGACTCAGAGTCTCAGCGCTTCCGCGACACACTGCGCACTTTGGCTGTGACAGTGTTGTTCAATAGTTCAGGCAGGTATGTGACGCGACAGTTTAAAACGTCGTGATTCAAAATCATGAGTCATGCACTTATTTTAGCCTGTATCTCTTCATAATACAGTCTGAACACATCCACATCCGGGTAACACGACGCCTCGCCTCAGTGAGGGAGGAAGCGCCAGTCTGCATCTGACCTGAGATCAGCTCGCGCAGCACAGACCAACCCGCCACCGACGGACACGGGACCGATCCCAGATCATCCTTCAACCGCGGAAAGACACCCGACAGCGAGTTTGTGCTACAAACCCATCATGTCTTTTTCAGATATACGCGTTTGAGTCAGTCAGTGTTTAATTCGCTTATGAACACATTCCGCTGACGTTCAGCCCAGCGCGCGCGCACACACACACACACAGAGTCTGCTGCTCGCTAACACACACAGAGCCACAGCAGCCGCGGAAGACACAATTACATAGCAGCACTGTAAGTATTCAACATTTCACACCTTACAGAAACGTTTGGTGGATTTCAAAACCCAGATTCCTCAACATTGAGCTGCGTGTCTTTTATTTTGGTGTCGCACGAGAGTAAGCTAAACGTACGCCCAGTTTTCCGCATGTCGGGCTTGTTTTTGGTAACAGGGCGGACAGGCTGAGTGTTTGAGCCGCGAGCGTCTGAACTGTTTCTTTGTTCCGTTCTGCGTCGTTATGTTCGCGTGTTACATTGTGAGCGGCTCGCGCGCTGTCGCGCTGTAATTCTGCTGCTGCTGTTTGTGTTGAATTGCGTGAACAGGCCTGAAACAGATCACACCACTGCAAGGCCCGTTCACTCAGTTCTATACAAACACACGCGGATCATGCACCAGAGGGCCTGTTCACTCTATTCAACATGCATTTCAGCACGATTCTACACTAAACTCTGTCAGATGGTTCCCTATAGGCTTGATAGGCAGCTTTTAGAACTTCTGTCACACAAATCTGACGACTGACGTTATAAATGGCATACATTTAACTTTATTTTTTGTAATGGAATAATGTGGAGTCTGTAAAGCTCTTTCCACAAATAATTTGTAAAAAAAAATTTTTTGTTTGGGAAAACTATTACAACAGTGTCAAAATTAATGACATAATTTGCTGATTACATGTTTATTAAGAGATATTAAATTAATTGTAAATTAATTTTATTACCTTTAATTAAGCTGTTTTAGATTTTATATATATATATATATATATATGTATATATATATATATGTGTGTGTGTGTGTGACACTGGACCACAAAACCAGTCTTCAGTAGCACATGTATATTTGTAGCAATTGCCAAAAATACATTGCACAGGTCGATTTTTCTTTTATGCCAAAAATCATTAGGATATTAAGTAAAGATCATATTCCATGAAGATATTTTGTAAATTTCCTACCATAAATATATCAACTTAATTTTTGATTAGTAATATGCATTAAGGACTTCATTTAGACAGATTTGAAGGCGATTTTCCTCAATATTTAGATTTTTTTTGCACCCTCAGATTGCAGATTTTCAAATAGTTGTATCTCGCCCAAATATTATCCTATCCTAACATACCATACATCAATGGAAATCTTATTTATTCAGCTTTCAGCTTTATATCAGCTTTTAATTTTTCAGAATTTCAGATGAATATATAGCTTTCAGATGATGTATACATTTAAAAAAAATTGACCCTTATGACTTTGTGGTTTTGTGGTACAGGGTCACACACACAAACACACACACACACACACACACATATATAATATAATATAATATAATATACTTCTCAAAAAAATTAAAGGAACACATTTTAATCAGAGTATAGCATCAAGTCAGTTAAACTCCTGGGATATTGATCTGGTCAGTTTCAGCTGCTTTGGTGTTAATGAAATTAACAACAGGTGCACTAGATGGGCAACAATGAGAGTTGCCAGAAGGTTTGCTGTCTCTCTCAGAACAGTCTCGAGCATGGAGTAGATTCCAGGAGACAGGGAGTTACTCTAGGAGAGCTGGACAGGGCCGTAGAAGGTCCTTAACCCATCAGCAGGACCGGTATCTGCTCCTTTGTGCAAGGAGGAACAGGATGAGCACTGCCAGAGCCCTACAAAATGAACTCCAGCAGGCCACTGGTGTGAATGTCTCTGACCAAACGATCAGAAACCGACTTCATGAGGCGACGTCCTCTAGTGGGCCTTGTGCTCACTGCCCGGCACCGTGGAGCTGGATTGGCATTTGCCATTAAACACCAGAATTGGCAGGTCCGCCACTGGCGCCCTGTGCTCTACAGATGAGAGCAGGTTCACCCTGAGCACATGTGACAGACGTGAAAGGGTCTGGAGAAGCCGTGGAGAACAGCATAACCGGTTTGGTGGTGGGTCAGTGATGGTCTGGAGAGGCATATCCATGGAGGGACGCACAGACCTTTACAGGCTAGACAATGGCACCCTGACTGCCATTAGGTATCAGGATGAAATCCTTGGACCCATTGTCAGACTCTACGCTGGTGTATTGGGTCCTGGGTTCGTCCTGGTGCACAACAATCCCCAGCCTCATGTGGCGAGAGTATGCAGGCAGTTCCTGGAGGATGAAGGAATTGATACCGTTGAATGGCCCCCATGCTCGCCTGACCTAAATCCAATAGAACACCTCTGGGACATTATGTTTCGGTCCATCCGACGCCGCCAGGTTGCACCTCAGACTGTCCAGGAGCTCAGTGTTGCCCTGGTCCAGATCTGGGAGGAAATACCCCAGGACATCATCCGTCTTCTCATTATGAGCATGCCCCGATGTTGTTTTGAGTTGCTGCAACGAAATTTCAGCAAAAGGGACTAGCCTGCTGCATCATTTTTTTCACTTTGATTTTTAGGGTGTCTTTGAATTTAGCCCTCTGTAGGTTGATAATTTTCATTTCCATCAGACGATGTGGCATCCTTTCGTTCCTAACACATTACCCAATCCATATCAGTATAGATATCCAGCATGATATTTTTCCCCATTGAGATCTGATATGTTTTCAAAGTTTTTTTTTTGAGCTGTGTGTGTACACTGCCGTTCAAACGTTTGGGATCAGTAAGATTTTTTATGTTTTTTAATGGAGTCTCTTGTGCTCATCAAGGCTGTATTTATTTGATCAAAACTACAGAAAAAAATAATATTGTGAGATTATTTCAATTTCTAATATTGGTTTTCTGTTTTAATATACTTTAAAATTTAATTGATTTCTGTGATCAAAGCTGAATTTTCAGCATCATAACTCCAGTCTTAAGTGTCACATGATCCTTCAGAAATCATTTTAATATGCTGATTTATTATCAGTGCTGGAAACAGCTGCGCTGCTTCATACATGCATACATACACACATATATATATATAACAGATTTTTTTTTTTTGGAAACTGATACTTTTTTTCTGCATTCTTTTATGAATAAAAAGTTAAAAAGAACAGCATTTATTTAAAATTTAAAAAAATTCTAACAATATGAGTCTTTACTATCACTTTTTATCCATTTAACATGTGTGTGATCAAAAATTTTCAGCATCATAACTCCAGTCTTAAGTGTCACATGATCCTTCAGAAATCATTTTAATATGCTGATTTATTATCAGTGCTGGAAACAGCTGCGCTGCTTCATACATGCATACATACACACATATATATATATAACAGATTTTTTTTTTTTGGAAACTGATACTTTTTTTCTGCATTCTTTTATGAATAAAAAGTTAAAAAGAACAGCATTTATTTAAAATTTAAAAAAATTCTAACAATATGAGTCTTTACTATCACTTTTTATCCATTTAACACATCCTTGCTGAATAAAAGTATTCATTTCAAAAAAAGAAAGAAAAAAATGTACTGACTCCAAACTTTTGAATGGTAGTGTATATTGTAACAAGATTTCCATTTTGAATAAATGCTTTTTTAAATTTTATATTCATAAAAGAATCCTGAAAAAAGTATCACAGGTTCCAAAAAACATGAATCAGTACAACGGTTTCCAACATTGATAATAAATCAGCATATTAGAGTGATTTCTGAAGGATCATGTGACACTGAAGACTGGAGTAATGATGCTGAAAATTCAGCTTCGCATCACAGGAATAAATTATATTTTAAAGTATATTAAAATAGAAACTGTTATTTTAAATTGCAATAATATTTCACAAAATAACAGGGTTTTTTCTGTATTTTGATCAAATAAATACAGCCTTGATGAGCACAAGAAACTTAGGTAAAAAATAGGCGCACAGACAGAAACAAAACAACATAAAGTCCAGGCCTGGTCCTCTCTCGTCTTGCACTGTCGTCACTCCTCCTTTTATCCTTCCGGAGCTCCTCCGTGGGACTCGAGACCGGTGAGTGGCGCAGGTGTCGCTCATTGTCATTCACTCAACAGCCTCGCTCCGTTCCCACAGCTCTCAGCCCCGCCCCACTCGTCACAATATATATATAAAATTTAAATGACCAAAATATGTTTAGCTGTGTCCCTACTTTTTTTTATTTTACTAACTTGGTATTGCATAAATTAATCAATTCTAAGTCTGCACGCTTTTTGAACCGTATCTATTATAGGATGGTCCATGTTTTAAACTCTGGCATTTATGCATCTGTATTTCATTATTTATATAATAATAATTTATGTATGTATGTACGAATGTGTTTGCTTGTTTTTTTTTTGTCTTAAGTGTCTTAGTTGTGTTTGAGCTCACCAAGAAATTCCAGAACAACTATGTTGTTTGGCAATAAATAAATAAAATTAATAATTTAATAAATAAATAATATTTAATAAAATAACATTTAAATTATATATTTAAATGTGTATAAAATAAATAATATATTAAATTATATTAATTATATATATATATATATATATATTAGTAGTATATATATTATGCATTGACCTTAAGGCTGATTTATACTTCTGCGTCAAACTTACGCCGTAGCTTACGCATAGATGCACACCCATACGCCGTAGCCTGACGTGCACCTCTCCAAAAATCTAAATAATGATTTGATATTTATTTGCAGCCGTCACGGCTACAATGCTTCTCCGACGAGCCGCCGCTTCTTCGGCTTTTGCCGTGGTACTGCGGGTTACACCAGCAACATGCCCGTGGACACTGCAGACTAGCGGTTTGCATGTGTACTGCACGTTGACGCGGACAACAACGCAGAAGTATAAATGAAAACTGACGCATAGCCTACGGCGTAAAGGCTACGGCGTAGGTCCAACGCAGAAGTATAAATCAGCCTTTAGTGTTAAAGTTCAATCATTCAACTGTCAACAAATATTTTTATTTAATTTATTGAAGTTATATAAGTTTATCAAAAAGCACAACCCTATTTTTGTCAATCACAAATTGACTGACAGCTTACTTTTGACTAAATTTGCAACCCTGTTAGTCCTTCTGCCACATTTATTATACTCTTTCATAAATTTGGCCGTTTTCTACCCTATTCCAGTGCAAAAATATTGTTTTAATTACCAGTAATATCACTGCCTTTGTGTTGTATAGTAATTGTCTTGACAAATAGATGAATAATTGTTTTTGTTTTTTTTTGGAGTAATTCTCACTGGTTTCTCATCACCATCTGTCTCTCACAAGGGTTTCTCTGTTGTATGAATTATGTAGTCTGTGTGTTACAGAGTGAGTGCTTCCATGGAGAAGGTGGTATTTACAGATAGTAAACAAAGGTGGAGCTTCTTTTTTTCTTTGTCGAGGACTATATGAAATTCACACAGCAAATAGAAGACCTGTTCACTCACTGCTAAATAAATGTGGTCATGTGACATTCCTCAGCAATGGGCCTTTTGATGGTTAAGGTGATATAGTGATGGTAAACGAGGGTGAGGTGAGGGTGGCATTTGTTGCAGTTATGACTGAGGTGGGACAGGTCTTGATTTTATTGCTGGCAGTGTTTGCATAGTGAATTATTGTAAGTCTTTAAACACACCTAGATTGCGGAGTGGACCAAGACTAGTATGATCAGTAAATTCAAAACATTTTAGAGTAGTTTCTCAAAAGCACTCTTTACAGAAGGTGCTATCAAACTAGATAGGCTATGCTTTATGTAATCATTCATTTGTAAGGTGGTTATATTGTTAAATATGTTAGACGCAGCACCAGTATGAAGGGAATCTGATCAAAGAGCAGCTGCTGACAGGTGGAGGAACAGGACATTTCCAGCAGGAACAGTGGATTTTAGGACTCTCTCTCTCTCTCTCTCTCTCTCTCTCTCTCACTCTCTCACACACACACACTCACTCACTCACTCACTCACTCACTCACTCTCTCTCTCACACACACACACACACACACACACACACACAGAGAGAGAGAGCTTAGGTTCTTATATCACAGGATTACCAGTCACAAGTTTCACTAGGCTCTCTTGGAAAAACTGAATATTCCTCTGACATTTCATTCTGGTGTCAACCCTGTCAAAATGGCTTTGTTTCTGCTATGAACAGATTTCATTAAATCAAACTGAGAATAATAATTTCATTTAATGTTATTTTGAGGCTGGAACAAATGAATGAGTTGTTTCTAGTGGAAGAAAAAATAAAAATCTTGAAATTACATAATTAAAGCCACTTGAGGTTGAATTTCAGATCATTACTGTTATTAATTAATATTGGTAATATGTAATTAGTGTTATTGTTAAGTAAACCTGAAACTATTACAGATTGTTTTCATTATTTGAAATAAAGCGTAAATTAAAATATAAATTTTAGATGGAAAAACTAACCGCCTAAATAAAAATTACAACTGATGGCTTGACGGTTAACGAAAGTGAAATCATTTTAAGCTAAATTACTATACTTACTACAACTAAAACTGAAATAAATTAAAGCTATATAATATAATGGAACAGACTTTAATAGAAATATTTAAAGAACAATTACTAAAACTTCTAAATTTAAAATGAAAGCTGAAAAAATTTAAATATTCCATATATTATTATAATAATAGGCTTATATAAGTAATACTAAAATAACACTAGTTTTAATGGTACATTTCTGCTGTTGCTTAGGACAAAATTACTTGTTCTTCGTGACTAGAACACATTTTTAGAAAAATATTAATTGAATAATAGTCGGCAAAAGTTTGACATCATTTTGGTTTTTAAAAGAAATTCATAAGTAGGCAGTAGGCACTGTTTGTATTTGTCTAATTTCAAGCATTTAATTAAACACTTTATTTCAAAAGGTTTTGAAGATCACGAGAAACGTATATTCAGTCAAGTATGTATTTGTGCTGTGTTTGATCCATAGAATATTTCCCAGTTAAATATTTCAGGCAATTGCCTACTTTAAAATAGAAGATTTTGTCTTTTGTCTCAGCATTTTGCTGTCAGAATTGAAGAGGGCAGTCAAAACCATTGACCTGTGTCCTTCTCTTTTCTTGTTTCTTTTTTTAATTTATTTACTCCAGGTTCTAAAGCAAGAAGTCTACAGCCGCAACCATGCCACTATTTGGTAAATCTCACAAGAACCCCACAGAAATTGTGAAGACCCTAAAGGACAACCTCTCAATCCTGGTCAAGCAGGATAAGAAGACAGAGAAGGTATGAGTTTGAGAGCAGTCCCTGTGGGTATTATGAGTGAATTACACCTGCAGATAACACCCGTTTCATTATAGGAATTATATTAGGTAACAGTGAAAACACAGCAAAAAAATGTGTGCTGAGCACTATTGGTGAGGAGTTATTGCCCATCTTGCAGGCAGGTTCTGATTGCTAGCTTTTTAAAGGATGCAGCAGATTGCTGAAATCTGGCGTACTTTACAGGACTGTACAGCATCTCTCCATCACGTTAATAAGCTTAATTTGCCACAAATGAGGCGTGTTTACACAGAAAAAAATGACAAGAGTTTAGCACAGGGCCGTTCCAGTGCATTTAGCGCTTGCTTAAGATGAATTACGGGTGTTTTTACACTGAAACACATTGTGCAAATGTGGCACAAAAGTTTAGTGAATTTGGCCGTGTTTACCTTGGTCCACCGGTCAGATTTTGTTTCTCCCTTGTTTTTCCACTTTCATCCCAGGATTTTATTCCATTTCATTCTGGTATTAATCCCAGTTGTTACAAAAACCCTCAGATGATTGCATAATGAATTCGACTATTGAGTGATGGTGCTCAAGTTTCCTAGGTCTCTCTACAGCTTTACCCTGAGACACGTTATAGCTCTTTTTAACCACAATATCAGCATTGTCCTCTAAATCGGCCTCCTTTCCACTGCTGATTTTTCCAGTGTGTTTTTGCATTTTTCATTTGCTTTTTCAGAGACGTAGGCCAGGCCAAAGGCAAATAAGTGTTTTAAACCAGTGCAGGGAAATGTCTGTGAATGACCATGGGCAGTTTTGTGAGCAGTGCACACCAGACTAACGGAGACATGCAGTCTGAAATTGAGATTAGCATCTGAGAAAATTTTATTTAATCAGAACTCCTCTTTAGATGACTTTCAGATAAATTATCACTCTTGACATTTTTTTTTCTTGCAAAGAGCTTTCAGTTATAGGTATTTTTCTTGTTGAATGGCAGTTGTTTGTTGGTGTCAGTTATTTTAGTGTCATTGATATACTACTTGCTAATATATAGTTTCATATTTTGAATTAGATTTGTATTTTTTTATTTTCTGTTTTCACTTTAATTTAATTTTGTTGTAATTTTATTGTTTTTGTCTCTGTTGTAGTTTGTCTGTAGTTTCTATTTATTAATTTTACTTAGGTTTAGTTATTTTAGTACTTCAAGTTAAACTAAATGAAAATGTGAAATGTTGCATTGTCACATAGTGAGATAATTGTAAGTTTTTGTGTATTTTTTTCAGTTTTGTATTTTATATTTAGTTAATGTTTATTTTATTTCAAGTAAATAATTTTTAATGGTTTTAGTTAACTATAACCCTGGTAGAAGTAGGTGTAGTTAAGGTAAATTTTTTTTTAAGCTAACTTAAATTTTTCTCAATGTCAATAAGTGGCTCAATTTGCTGAATATGAACCCCATTTTCAGCACATCCTTAATAGACCCAAATGAGCAAGAGTTCGGATTCCTGGAAGTGCTCATGTTTGTGCTGTGAGTACAAAGATGTCGGAGAGGTGGGAATATCGCTCCACTGCCCGACCTCTTGCTCATTTTCATCTGCCCGCTAAGGCTCTTTTCAGCAGCCCAGTGTTAAAGTCAAGCGTTTGAAGTGCTGGGAACCTCTGGGGGCCTAGGACTCTTCCAGCTGGAGGGAAATCCAATGCTCCACGATACCTCCACACTTTCAAACCGAGCTGTTTCAGCAGCTGATAAATAGCTAATGATGTTCTTTGTATAATGAGCTTACGTGTGAAATTACCCAGAATCCTTTTAGCTGTTCAGAGCAATATGCAGCATTGATGGCATATGCTCTGAACACACACGTGTGGAAATGTATTGAGTTATCACCATGTTTTGTAGTGATTAAAGTGATTTTTGTGTGTTTGTCAGGCTTCAGAGGAGGCGTCGAAATGTCTGGTGGCGATGAAGGAGATCCTGTACGGCACTAACGACAAGGAGCCACACACAGAAACGGTGGCCCAACTGGCCCAAGAGCTCTACAACAGCGGCCTGCTCATCTCACTGGTGGAAAACCTACAGGTCATCGATTTTGAGGTGAGGATACTGCTTGTTCTCTTTTTATTTATGATTGTAATAATTGGTATAATAGCATTGTCTATGTGTGTTCACAGGGTAAAAAGGACGTTTGTCAGATCTTCAACAACATCCTGCGCAGGCAGATCGGGACCCGCAGCCCAACGGTGGAATATTTCTGCTCTCATCAGGAAGTTCTTTTCATCTTACTCAAAGGGTGAGAGATGATGGGTATTTTTGAAATGTAGCACGTAAGCATGTTACTTTGAAACTGCTGGCTTGGAAAAGCTTTGAAATGTCCACGGCGCTATTTCCATTCCATCAGTCCATCAGAAACCATCTATTCATTTTAGCAAGTTTAGCTCTAAAATCAAGATCAGAAGACCAAACGTGGAATAGATCCAAAATCATGAAGTTCTGTTTCCCTGAACATGGCTTCATGTTAATGTGAACTTGACATTTCTGCTGTGGTGCTGTGGCAGGTATGAGACTCCTCAGGTGGCATTGAATTGTGGGATTATGCTGCGTGAGTGCATCCGGCATGAACCTCTCGCCAAAATCGTCCTCCACTCTGAACACTTTAAAGATTTCTTCAGCTACGTGGAGATGTCCACATTTGACATTGCCTCTGACGCGTTTGCCACCTTCAAGGTAAGTGCTATATTTATTTTTTATTTAACACATTATTAATTGTTACATAAATGATTTGTTAAATGGTACTCATTGCACTTTTTTTTTTTGTTTTGTTTTTTTACAGGATCTGCTCACAAGACACAAGGTTCTGGTGGCGGAATTTTTAGAACAGAACTATGACGCGGTAATATATTCATTTTTTTGGTTAATTTTTATCATAGAATCTAGGAAAACTAACATTTTACATGGCTGTCCTTGATCTTCCAGGTTTTTGATAACTATGAGAAACTGCTTCACTCTGAGAACTACGTGACCAAGAGACAGTCGTTGAAGGTGTGTGTTGTGACATTGATTTTTGTCTTCTCTAGCCTGTCCTGTCATTAACATCACGTGTTTGTGTGTTATGTGACAGCTGCTGGGTGAACTGCTCCTGGACAGACACAACTTTACAGTCATGGTTTCTTGTTTAATTACACGCATGTTGTTTTACCGGCACTCGTGCCTCTGGCCTAATCACAGCCATGCTGATATAGAGCTGGTATCGCTCTCGTACTCGAGTGATATTGCTCATTCAGGGAATACTTTTTGTAGGCTTGTAGAAAACGATGTGGGAAAATTATTACAAGAACCTCGTAATAAATTGTATAAGCTAAAACATTTAACAAGAGTGCAAAGAGAAGCTTTGTCAGCCTTAATTAACGATTAACTGACTATTCAACAAAAAAGGTTCTGAAAGGAATTAGATTTATTTGTGCCATTTATTACTTCAAAAAATGTTAAATCCGATTTTTCAAAAACTGATTCGGGCCGACTAGCAAAACAAACTTGTAACCAATCAGCAGTAAGGGGCGTGTCTACTCATGATGTGGAGGAGAGAGCGTTCAGTGCACAGGACGGACATTAGCCGAGCCGAGCGACAGAAAGATAGAGATGGCGGATAAAAAACAAGAGGAAAACGAAAAACAAAAGAAGGCTTAAGGCAAGAAGTAGGACCCGTGTAAATATCGGATCAGCTTTCCAGCACTAGAGAGAACTCAAGGAGCGGAAGGCCTGCAATCGGACGCCGAGGTTGCTTTGTTTCTTCTCGATAGGTGAGTAACACCGTGTCTGTGCTGCAACCGCTAAAGTCTGTCTAGTACACTGGACGCGACAAAAACGACCGTTGAAAATCATTTGAAATTTGTGTCAATACATCATGAATGGAACGCAGCAGCAGTTTTCTGTCAGGGATTTGTCGTGTCGTGCCGCGCCGCATCCAGTGTAGACCAAAGATGCGTATGTATATAGGCTATATCTATGGTGTAGACAGCATCACTGATTATAATGAGTTCTATAGTATTTTGTCGCGCCGCGCCACTCGCGTCCGGTGTAGACATGGTGTAACATTGGTTATGCTTTTAGAACTAATCGTTGCCTGGGATGCGTACGTATGTGTGGGGCGAAGCTATCAAAATAGGGGCGAGACCCTTTTGGGGTAGGGGCGTGTTTGTTTTGGTGAATTCAAATGTCAACATTGGCTACCAGAAATTGCTTACCCCACCTTTAAATTTACAATGGAAGAAAGTCGTGATTCGATACATTTTTTGGACGTGAAAGTTACAAAGATCAAGGAGTCATTTACAAACAACAGTATTTCGAAAACCAACAGATAAAAACAATATTATAATATCTATTGACAGTTATCATCCAGCTCCTTTAAAACGTAGTTTACCGATTAGCCAATTGCATAGATTAAAATGTAATTGTAGTACTACACATGAATTTGATGAACAGGTAAAATTGCTATTTCAACTATTTCATTCTAAAGGCTATCCACAAAGTTGGTCAAATAATCATCCAATAATCTAGTATACGACGACAAGACAACCTCTTCAGTAGCGAGACATTTCAAATGAATTTGGACACGACATCAAGCAATTGGAATGTATAGGAAGAGAGGAAGTTTTTGGGTCGCGTAGAGGAGGTAATATAAATAAAGAACTATTGAAACGAGAAGCATTTTTAGATTCATAAACTTAAATCACTGACCCCAAATGGCATGAACGAGGAATTAGATCTTTCTGTCTTCCTTTAATGAACTATAATTGGTCGAATTCATCAATAATATTTTGTACAGTAAATCTTGAGTATCTACAGTGTGAAAAACAATGATTGTTTATGACGATGTATTTCTGATATTTTGATTCATTGAATTTTCCATTGTTATACATTTTAAAGTCAATTGGTGGAGTAGATACTAATGGCTGTTTACTTAAATTACAAGATTGTATAATAGTGATAAATATAAGATCCTAGATCATTTTTGTTTTAATCACGGAGATATTGTGTGGTGTACTAGTGGAGGTGATGATCTGTGTTGTGTGTATATACATGAAAATTGTCTAGTATTTAAATGGAAATGATTTAATGGTTTTAGTAATTGAACATTGGCTAATGAATGATGACGTCAATATAATTAGTGATTTGAAAAGTGGGTGGAGGGATTGAATTGCTTTACACACTGAGGAAGGCTTTGAGCCGAAACGTTTGTGTTTTTTCCCATCAACGATGAATGTAAAATCAAACGAAAAAAGAAGACTGTTTTCGTGAGTGCGGATCATGATCTCCTATACCAATTTTTTTCCCCCACTTCTTCACCTTGCATGAAAAATGTCACACTGTCAACTCCAAAAGGGGGGAAAACACCATAAAATGATCAAAATTGTGGTTTATATGAAACATGCATTATGTTCCAAGGCAATATGATAGATTTGTGTGAGGAACAAATTGAAATAAGCAAAAAAATCAACATTTTTATGAATTTAACAAATTTATTGAAATTTATCTTAATTTTTAATCATTTTTTTTTCTTAATCTTAATCTTAATTTTTTTTTCTGTGCATTTCTTCAGGTGTTTGTGGCCAATCCAAATAAAACACAGCCCATCGTAGACATTCTATTGAAGAACCAAACGAAACTCATCGACTTCCTTAGCAACTTTCAGAAGGATCGCACAGACGACGAGCAGTTTAACGACGAAAAGACGTACCTCGTCAAACAAATACGAGACCTAAAGAAGCCAGCCTCCTAAACTCTAGCTGTTGCAGTATTAAGGAAAAAAAACAAAAAAAACACAAAAAATATATTAACAATAATAATTCTATTTAAAATCTTGAAAAATGTCTTTTCTTAGTTCTGAGGCTTACAAAAGAAAGTTCCGGATCATTGATGTTCTCTGTTCTTATTTGCTTTTCTTTTTCCTTCTTTCATGTTTTATTGCAATCTCTTGTGCCATGATAGGATGTTTTAAAAGTAGGAATCAGCCAGTTTGAGTTATGGGAAGAACCATCTAAGAACATCAAGACACCGTGCAGATGAGGAAGTACAGGTAAACTTTCATTTTCCGTTTCCGGGTGTTTTTCGCGAGCATGGACACACTACGTTCTCCATGGCACCAACAGCGCCACAACACGGCAGTTTCGCTATGCTAGAAGAGATTGTGTTATTTGGATATTGCTGGAAAAGAGGTGAAATTCCCAAAAGATTAATTATGAGCTGTTGATTTTCTCTTGATGACTTGTAACTGCACTAATCTTCGTTCTTGCATTCCTTTTCATGGCTTTTCTCTGGCATCAGCATCCGCTTTTATTTCTTTCGCCCGAACACTACAAACCTGATGATTTCCTCCCTGTTCTCTTTATTCTGTTCGTGTTTTATAAGAATTATTTAGAAGGATGAATTCATTTATCAGTATTTTAATTATTGTTTATCTGAGCTGAAACAGAAAGAGCATCTGTGGGTCTTCATGTACATTCTGAGTTGCTGCCAGGCCGTTTCTCTTGTCCAGAAAGCATCATTATTTTGTTTTATATATTTTTATTTGATGTTTACCTACGTTTAAAAAAAGACAAGCGCTGATTTTACTCTTAAGGTGGTTGCCGTTTTAGAAGAATCTTGAAAAATCTACTTTGGCACAAAGTGAACCGGTGTATATTCCAACTCGTAGATTTCCTGTAGATCAGTGAGGTATAGCTATAGTGCTGTGGTATTACTATTGTATGCTCTATACTATAGTAACCCTAGTGCTATAGTATTTCTTAACTTTAGTACATCATACTAAAGTACTTTTTATACTGTAGTGCAGCTGTAGTATAATATTCATTTCTATACTATAGTATACCTTTTACTGTAGTATGTATTTCGTGCTATAACCCATGATTCATCCGTCTTTGATGATTTTGACAGAAGTAGATTGTTGCATAGCTGGAAAACAAGATGAAATGAGGACACAAATGTACAAACAGGTGCCTTTTGTTCTTGAGTTGTTAATTTACTATTTTGCTCATTTTTTTATTTGAGAAGAAATTTTGGAAGGGGGAGCTTAATTTCTTTTTATTGTTTTGAATATGTTCTCATTGAGCATATTTAGCTTGATTAAGCAATGAACCTCTTGAACTCACTATATCTGAGTTATGCTGTTGAAGAAAATTCATTAAATTTCATTCTTTTTTCCTCTATAGTTCATTGATTGTTTCATTACGAGTGTCTTTAGGTTTATGGGATGAAATATGCTTTGGTGGTTAAGATCCATCACTCACAGTGTGAAACAAATTCATTTGTACTCTAAAGCAACTATTTTCAAATTATTCGCATGAAGCCAAATTTATTCAATATATTTGTCTGCAGTTACATTGAAGATGCCAAAACGTGTTCAAAATTTGAATTTCAATTTTTCCTACTACACATACAGGTGCAGTTTCCATCTGAAATGCTAATAGTACCATTTCAATAAAGACCAACTGAAGCATTAGCAACATCGTTGACTCCCTTTTTTTTTTCCCCAAAGAAAAAAGGACATTGGGTACTGTATATATTTTACACCGTAAATTAAGAACAAATTTAAATAGTAATATATTGTGTGAACACATAATGGACAGTTCTGCTTATCCCTTCAATTTGAAACATTTAAAAACGTATTGTGTGCAATAAACTTGTGCAGTTTTAAAACCCAAGTTTTCAACCCAAATCCCGTTTCTAAAATGCATATAATTAAACTTTTAACAGGCTGTCCCGGTAAACTAATGAAACATCTTCCCTCTTTTATGCTGTATTGTAATGGTAAGATGCTGCATGAGTATGGCAGGTTAAATAGCATTTGAACATCATCTGTTGCTGTGGCAGGAGAGCAGCTTTCGAAACGTCTTCTATGATCTCAGTCTCTTATTGCACTGAAAATGAGTTTCCTCCTCTTTTCGTTTCATGTAGCCATCTGCAAAAATAATAATAAATGTAGCGGGTGTCACATGCTATATACCATCTAATTATTCATGCAGCTTTTAAGAAACTCGGACTGAATGTTTGAACATATAGTATATAATGGAGTACTCTGAATATTTGAATACACTTTTAAAATTTCCTTTGTCATACCACAAGACCATTTAAATCCAATTATTATATTCAGTGAGCTACTGAAGGAAAAATGGAGAAAACATGGTGAGCAGACACAGGACCTTGCATTTTATACTTTCACTTATACATTTTAACCTGAAATGTTTATTTTGATTTACAAAAATATAATAAATACCCACAAATCTGAACTACAACACTAATTAGACACTTCACTAAAGAAAAAAAGATTTTTGGTACTAATAAATAATGGGTTTAGAAAAATAGCTGCTTTTTCCATCCAGTTACTGAGAAACTTTGATAATGGTAGGTGTTTCTTTTTTTGAAAATTTTTTTTAATTGAGACACAAAAACACTTACTTGCTGTGGACGGCGCAGCTTGTTCTGACATATGTCTAGCAGATTATTTCTGCTGCCACTGGAAAATAAGAAATATATATTTATATGTATTATAGTTTTCTTTTTTTATCATAAATGTAAAATAAGAAAAAATGAAAGTACATCAATACAACAGTGGTGTGGTATTTTTCCAAGTTCATAATTTATCATAATGATTCACTCTGCACTTACAATGAATTTCTGGACGCCGTTGAGTTTGTCGAACCTGAGGTAGGAGATGTCATGTTTGACTTTGTTGCTGTCCAGGTCTGTGGTGTAGATCTGCTTTATTCCAGCGCAGCCGATCAGAGGAACACACTCATCACACGGGCATTTGGTCACAAACATCATTGTGTTGTCCTCTTCTTTTATCTCTGTGCTCCTGCAGATTGGAGGGAAACATGAATGAATTTTTTTCTTTGAACATTCGAATGGCCTGATATTCAGAGTTCTTCACAAATACAGTCAGTGCATATAAAACATAGCACATCTCCAGCGTGAGCTGATGAACAGTTGTTGTTGTTGCCAACTGTTCTTCTGACAGTTCTGCTCCTTCCCATGAGTCTCACCTAAATGTGAGCACGTTCTGCTCCGCATGGAGGATGTATCTGTACTTCCTGTTCTGTCTCTCCTCTTGCTTGTGATCCATCTGAGGATACTCTGCGTACTGTGAGCCCACTGGATAGGCGTTGTACCCACAGCCCACTAGGTAAAGCCGACCTGTGCCATCACATTGCGACTAGAGGTAGTTTAAAACATAGAAGAGAAAATAAGAGAGGTTTTCTTTAAATACATTTATAAATTCAAAGTCATGTTTTATGTTTTTGGCTCACCTGTTTTCCCTCAGCCCAAATAACTGCACCAACTCCCATTTTAGGATCCTCTACATAAAGAGACCGCACACACACAAAAAAAGAAAACATTTGAACTGCACCTCAATTTAACTTTGCACCCTTACATCATCCTCCAGGAAATGATATCATTTTGGCAGGAAAACAACAACAGCATTAGCAATGGACTAGTTGGGCTGTCTCACTTTGTGACTTTACATACTGTTAGATAAAGTACTCATAATGGTATTATTAAGATTTCAAAATATGGTTAACTCTTTCCCTACCATTGACAGAATTTGCCGTCATTTACGAGACGCTTCCCCACCATTGAAGGCTATTCCGGCTTTCAGAGTTTTCACTGTTATACGGTAGGAGGCGCTATTAAGCATCTCCTGAAAGAGCACTGAACATCTGGCCCAGAAATTTTGTGAAATTGGTGAAGATGGCAACCAATTAAAAAAAAAAAAAAACCCGCTGACCGTGAAAGAGTTAAAAATACTACAATTATCTGTCACCCTCTGGTAAGCTAACCATCAATTCCTCGCTGAGCATTGACAAACTTTAGCACTTTATTTCCAACCTGTTGGTAATTGTGTTGCTATTTTGTAAATTCTCGTCATATTTAAAAAAAAATTCAAAGTTTACATTTACATCACAAATTCAACGTACAAATGGCTTGAAGTTGGCATGAAATGAAAATTCACTTTATCTGTTTTCTAAACGCATCTTATCAATCTTTCTGTCAACGATTTATCAATGCATTGTTTTTTATGAGCCCTTAGTGCCAAAGTTGATTTTTAATCTAAAAGTCTCAACTTTCCATTGAAACAACATTGTATGTATGTTGGGCTTCTCCAATCATTTAGTCTGCTTAAATCCCATCCCATTTTCATGGACTTTCAGATCTGCCTCCATCCAATTAACTACTGATTTCTGCCAACCATTTTAAGCGACACTAGATTCATGCTGTTTTCACTTTCTGCCATTGCTTTTGGTTTCTTGATTTGTGTATTTCTGAAAACAGCTGAACATTTTGATGTCAATTAGTCAAGCAAGTGAATAATAAGTAAATCTAATTGAACAGAATTCACCTGTTCTACACGCCAGTAATCGGGCCTGTATGATACAGTGTCGCACCACATCCTGAGGTAAAGCTGGAGAACCCGTCCCTAAAGGCTCTCTCATGAAGAACCCATAATCTTCTTCTAGAACCGGAACGCTTGCGGCGGCGGATGCCAGAATCCTAACAAGATTCCTCATATGCTGCCTTAAGTTGCTAAAATTTGGTTCCGCACAGAAGCTCTCCAGTCCCATCTTGTTCAGCACATACTTATGCTGTTCCTCATCATTTATAAAGAACTTCTCCAAGAATTCATCCAAGTTGTTCCACCATTCCCTTCTAAAGATATCCTTAACATCGAGAGTTGGATTGTCCGCAGCAATCTTCCCAAGGAAGTCACAGTTTTGAGAAGTTTCGTCCACGAACTGCTGCATGGTGCAGTCCAGAGGCTGCAGGAGCACACAGATGTGGGGTCTGCTGTTGGACTTCAGTCTCTCTCCAGCTGTGGCATCTAAGATGGCTTCCTGGTGACTGGAGTCTGTATGATTGTGTCTACCTGACAACAAACTGATCTCAGCATCACCGGGCCAGTATGATATCCTACTCACACCAGCTGAACAAAGAGAGATGAGAGAGAGGGTAACAACAAGGGGCAAGATAGGCAGTCAAATATAAAATGTTACAAACATATGAAATATATGGTTATTTTACATTTAATATTATATTCACAACTTTATTTATTTGAAGTATAGTTATAGACAGGTATGATCCTGACATAGTGCAGGTGTGATCTTACCATTGATGAGCATCTTGAGGCAGGCGGAGCAGGGTTTTCTGGAGAAGTAGAGATCGCATCCCTTCAGTCTGGGTCCGTGTTTGACCACAGCCACCTGTCCTGCATGTAACTGCACACTGGAGCAATGCAGACCCAGAACCCTGCACTCATGGACCACCACAAGCCCACTGTCTCCAGCCTGGATCCAAATATAATACCTCTCATTATTTATATATCCATACAGCTAATGAGTCATAGGATGTAGCAGCCCTTCCAGTTCATACTTCAGAGCACATGAGTCATTATACACACAACAGGGACTCTGTCATGTGGGAAACCGTTTTCCAATAATAATTCTGCTGTAGACTGAGAATGTGTTTTTTTTCCCCCACAGGAATAAATACAAATCAGGACATTTTACATGGGTAGATACCATTTGTAACACATTTTTCTTAATATATCTTCATCTGCATTTTAAATGGCTTTTAATGTAAGCTCTGTCCTTAAAACACACACGATTGCTTTAGAGGAAATTAAAATATGCCTACTGCGTCATTCTCTCGTTGCTGTGGTTCTTTCTTTGGGAAAAGTTCCATCCATAGACTCAACAATGTGAAGAGGTTGGCTTTGGACAGTCGAGGTCCATGACCTGAAACAATCAAATAGGATTTTTGTGAACAGACTAGTGACAAAAAAACAAAACAAAAAGCTACTAATTTGTAATGTTATGAGATAATCAAACAATGGAGATGTACCAATAATCGATTAGACCATGGTGTTCAATGTGTTACATTTTAAATTGAGCTAATTCGTTTTTCATTTGTTTAAATTTTTTGTTTTTGTTTCAATCATTTTTACATAAGTACATAATAATAATAACACATTCATTATGATTATTTTATTGCTGTATTATAATGATTACTGTTTTTATAATATAATTTTTTCAGCTAGTAGTAGTTATGATATATTTATGCAAAAGACTGACGGATTAAGAATAAGATTTGATGGATAAGTATCAATGTATTTTTTATTGACGTAGTTTTCAATCACTGCATCAAAAAGCAGATGATAAAATATAAATAAAAGAAAAAGAAAAAATTGGTCTCTATAAGGAAATGGTTAGCATAAAATCTTATCAGAATTCTAATTAGAATGGATTTAATGCAATCAGATTGCTCTTAAAATTAAGTTGCTGACATGATGAAATGCATAATAACCTCCTATTAAATAATTTAACGACAAAAATCATCATAAAAGCAGAAGAGAAACAGCTTTGAAGAAGAAGCGGCTTTAACAACACACTGTAAAGTTGAGCTGTCCTGGGGTCTGGTTACCATAAGCAGACACTGACAAGCTAATCTAACCTTGTACTTTGGCATCCGTCTGTACTCCACTATCCCTCGCATTGCGCACTTCCCCGCCGTTTGGAATAGATCTGTTTCCCTCGAAATCCCGGTGAGACAGCCGACTGTCCGGTGCTGCCATTCAACCGCGATCAGCATTGACCTATCATTGACTAAACAGTCCCAAACAACAACAGCCCCACCGCCTTCACGCTGTGCTCTTCCGCAGACGTCACCTGGGGGCGGGGCATGGGTGCTTTCACACCTGGCCTGTTGTTTCGGAACCTGGCACGTTTCCCCCCTTAGCTCGGTTCGTTTGGGCATATGTGAACACGGCAATCGCGCTCGGATCCGCGCCAAAACAATCGGTCCGAGATCGCCTGAACGAGGTGGTCTCGGCTCGATTAACGAACTCCGGAGCGGTTCGGTTGTAGTGAGAAAGCTATCCGATCCAACGGACCAACGAACCAGGCTATATCACAATTTATGATGGGTAATTACGTAAGTTCCGTGAAACGCATCAGCTTTGTTGTTTTGCTAATACCTCAAAATGAACCTGTGAGTGTCTGTGGGTGAGCACGTCTTTGCCATTCAAAAATCAAAGCGCACTTTATTTTATAATGCCGTCTTATTGCTCTATATATAGAAATATTGCTATAATGCGTAGGTGCATTTTAAAAATGTTTTCCCAATCAATCCTGGACTCCTGCTCAAAATGATAAATTATTATAACGACAGCTACAAAAATAAATAAAAATAAAAATAAGCCCGCAAAGCTGTTATCGTTCCATTCTGACGGAAGACAGCCGTGACAGCTCAGTGGAATCCCGGAAAATAAACCGTGGAACTTTGACCAATAAGAGAACAGTTTACTCGCACGTGACTTGTATTAAAGGGGTCATATGATGCGATTTCATTTTTTCCTTTCTCTTTAGAGTGTTACAAGCTCTTGGTGCATAAAGAAGATCTGTAAAGTTGCAAAGACTAAAGTCTCAAATCCAAAGAGATATTCTTTATAAAAGTTAAGAGTTAGCCACACCTACCTAAAACGGCTCGTTCGAACACGCCCCCACATATCTACGTCACTATGTGGAAATATTTGCATAACGCCGCCCAAATGTTCAAGCAAAGAAAGAAGGCTAACTTTTATTCTCGCTGTTGCCGCCGCG